TTAGCCTTCTACTTTACTATCTCTATAATATAGCTCCTATAGTAAAGGGTAGGGATAAGGCCTGCTTAGCCCCTAGTATAATTATAGGCCTATTTAGAGATATACTATATACTATAAGAGCCTTAATCTATTATCTACTAGATATATTTATAGTAGCCCTACTATAGGGATTAGGAGATAACCTTTCCTTTATAATTATAGGTCTTTGTATACGCAATCCAGTTATTATTTATATATATATTAGTATAGATTTATTAGTAAAGGTGGGTTTATTTAACTATCTTAGTATATTTAGATATCTAGTCTAGGTTAGCCTACTTAGAAGGGCATGCCTATAGTATAGAATAGGTACTAGCTTACTAGATAGTTTTAAGAAGGTAGTTAGCAGTATTCTTAATCTAATTAGGGGTTTTAAGGTCTCTGTACTATCTATAGGGGTTAATATTTTTAGCAATAAATTTATAAAGCTTCTATATATCTATAGCCTTCTAATTACAGTGCCTAGGGGCCTTTGGTAGGGGTGTTAAGATATTAAGAAGTAGATAGTTAGAATTAGTATAGATATCTAGAGCCACCTTGCAGGCTATAAGATAGGCTATTAGGTCTATAGATCTAAATATTAGATTAATAGTTAACTAGTGGCCCTACTTATTATAGGTGACAACACCTAGCTCTATCTATAGATCTAGAAGCTAGGTGTTAGTTAGTTCTAATATTTATTAGACCTAGGGTTAGTATAGCAGATATAATCACTACCCTAGGCTAGGTAGTAAAGGTTAAGTCTCCTAGGAGTAGGTAGCTATCTTATTAATCTAGAACCTACTCTAGGAGGTTAAGAGTATTAGTTTAGATATTAGTATCTAGATAAGGGTTATATATATTATATAGTTAGAGTACCCCTATATTATAGTATAGCTTAAGTTCCTAGTAGTCTTATAAATAGGCTATATACTTCTATTTAGTAGGGTTTATCTTATAGAAGATATAAAGATAGATATAGATATAGCTTCTAGTCTTTATTACTTCTAGATAAAGTAACTAGTAAGTTACCTTAGTAGGGTAATAGATAGTATCCTAAAATAGATTATCCTATAATTCTTATATAGTAATAATATCTGCCCTTAGGACCTCTAGGTTATATAAGAACTAAGCTATTATTATATTCTTAGAATAGTATATATTATATTAAAGAATTTAGAATATTCTATTTATAGGAGGCATAGTATAAAGTATTCTATATACTCTTTTAATAGCTACTAATAAACTAGGGTATCTCTATAGAGAAGTTAACCTAGGGGTCCTTCTTTAGCTATATAGGGGTCTCTACTACCTATTTCTACTTCTTCTTTTTAGCCTAGGTGCTGCTAGAGTTAGTATTAGTATTCTTATCTTATAGGACTAAGCTAGGCTGCTAGTTACTTCCTAAGGGGTTAGAGAGTTTAGTATAGCTATTCTTATCTTTATTATTATTAGTAGTATTATCTTAATATATATTAAGGTAGGTCCTATATATAATAGTAATTTATTAGTTCTATAGTAGTTTTAGGGGGTAGATATTATCTTTATTAGTTAAGTCTAGTAGATTAATATTATTTAGGCAGTCTACTATTTAAGTAGAGTAGTAGAAGATAGTAGAGCTAGTTTAATTTATTAAGGCCTTTCTAGATATTATTAAGGCCTTCCTAGATACTATTAAGGCTTTGGGATATGGTGCTAAGGGGGTAAATAAGATATTATTAATATTCTAGTCTAATAGTAATATTAGAGATAATATTAAGGTTAGTGCCTAGCTATAGGATAATTACCTATAAGATAGCTCTAATATCACCTTCTTAGACCCTTTAGATAGTCTAGTAGTCTTTTTTACTATAGTAGATTCCCCTAGAGGTCCCTTAGTATTCTTAGATCCCTTTATTTATATTAGGGAGCCCTCTACTAAGGTATCTATATCTATAGGGTTAGATATTAGGGCAGAGGTGCTTAGTATAGTAGTAAAATCTAAGCTACTACTCTTAGAATCTTATTAGAAGTCTTATAGGTATAGTAGAATATAGTAATATTACTAGTAATAATAGGATACTACCTATATCTTATCTATCTCCTCTATATACTTTTTATATCCTTTAGACTAGGTAGTATATATATCCCTATAGTTAGTATATTTTTATAGCTTCTAGCTAGCAGTAGCTTACTAGAGTAGGTAGTTATAGATCTTATAACTACTTATATAAAGGCTATAGATAGTTTTATTAGAATAGATACTTTCTATATAGCTATATTACTAATAGTTAAAGCACTAGCAGATGTAAGTAGACTAGTTATATAAGATTATAATTAGAATAATAGAATCCTAGATAATTCTCTTATTAATAGCTTTATTAGTAGCCTAGGGGGTAGAAAACTTAATTACTAAGATAAAGAACTTCTTATTAATAGGATAGTTTATAAATTAGATAAGATAGATAATTTTAGCCTCTCTCTAGGAGAACTAATTCTTAGCTAAAATTTAATTAGTTACTTACTTAACTTCCTAGGGATTACTTAGATTACTAATTAATTTAATCTAGATATTATAAACTACTATATCCTAGATTAGTAGGTAAATAATTGTAAAGGCTTGGCTACAGCCCAGCCACTTAATTATGCGGCCACCCCTTGCATCCTAATTATTTTTAACCTCCTGTTTTCATACCTTGAGCTGCTTTCGAATCATCACTGAATGCATCTAGGATAGACAGCAAAGATAAATAGTATTCCCCTTGTCTGATATTTAAGAAGATAAGGATTAGTTTTGTTATAAAATGATCTACTACTCTCTATCATTCTTTTCTATTGATTATCATCACTAATTCTTACCTAGTCAACAGGCTATCTACCCTGCAACGTAGATCCTTACAATAATAGCTCCCTAATAAAATAATTTAGCCTATCTAGGATAATAATATATAATTTTAGCCTACTAGGTAGTCTATAGGCTAAGGCTTAAGTTACCTAACTTAAGTTAGTAAGTAACTATAAACTTAATAAATATAAGGATAGCTACTATAGTCTTCTTTAAGACTTTTATATAGGCCTTCTTAGCCTTATTCTTTATCTCTATAGCCTTTAGATAGTAGAATATACTTACTATACTAGTATCTAGTAACTTAATAATAACCTTATAGTCCTTACTTAGTTCTAAGAGGGTGGCCTTAGGGCTACTTAAGAAGCTATAGAAGAAGGCTATATAGCTAGGTAGAGAGGCCCCTATAGCTATAGTAATATAGGAATAGACTTTTAAAGGCTAGGATATAGTTAATTAAGTAGTTAAAATATACTAGGTTATAGTAGTATTCTTTTTAATATTAAGAGTAATCTTATAGAGATTAGTAACTATCTTTCTTTAGTTATTATCTAGAGGGTTCTTAAGCACCTCCTTAATAATAGTATAGGTATTAGTAATTAGCTTAATAAAAGGCTTTAGGATTTCTTAATTATAAATCTTTAAATAGTTTAAATAGATACTTATATTATAGTAAAGATCTAAGATATAGTTATATAGAGTTTTCTATAGCCTCTTTTTACTACCTTAGAAAGTTATTAGGGGCGGCCACCCAGGCTTTAATAATAATATAGTAATTAAAACCCTATAAAATTAGGATTAATTAATAGCAGTTGACATTATAAGAAATTAGGTGAATTTTCAGGTTAAAAGACATTGATTTAGGTGAGAAATTTCAAAAATTTGTTCTGTGTTGAAGTTGTTGTTTTTTTTCTGTAGTAAAGGTGAGACCTGTTATGTTAGATAAAAAGTTGTTGCGTGGACTATTGAAATCAATGATCATCCTTCCACCACATCACAGATGGCGTGGGCTGTCATGGCGTTGTTGCCGTATTTTAATTTAGCACCAGATATTAACATTGCCATTGAACACAAGGTCAGTTATCTCATCAAGACGCAAACAAAACAGGAACAGGAAGGCAGAGAGAGCGGATCTGGAGCCGCAACAAGGGAGGAGACAAGGTATACTAGGACCGGCTTTCTCAATTTCTTTTATATTGGATATGCATTGTATTCACATTATTTTCCAATGATGCCGCTGGGGAGGTATGTGCGCTTGGCTAGTGGGTTGAGGACTACTAGCAGTGTTGTATCAGGAAAAAATGCGAAGTTCTGATATAGAGACGATATGTTACAACATATAGACATTTTCAATGATTATATTGTGATTTGTTTCTCTTTGCGGTCTGATATGCCAGACTCTGTGGGATATTTAGTAGCATTTAGATTTAGTAGTAAGTTAATTTAGGTAATGGCCTACTCCTTGAAATGATTATGTGGATTTTAATTAAGCTGTAGGTAGATACGGTAGGTATACTATACGAGGATGCTGGATGACATTGCAGATATCAGAGAATAATATGTGTCTGGACTGTAAGTCTTCTTCAAGCTTTACTAATTACGCTATATAGTATAGGTCTTGGGCTTCCTAGAGTTTTGTAGCCTAAAGGTATGATAAAGATTAGCATAACTAATTAACTTCCAATTATAAGATGCTAATTTACAGGATAATGCACATAGATAACTAACCTAGGTAGGATGATTGGCTTACTGTCTGAGCTGCCACCATAAGCAATGAGTCAAGCCAAGTCGGCATCATGTCTGCCTGGTGAATGTAGTTATGGGGTCAGGGTCCGTTTTGGGACATACGTCAAGGCTCTTTCTTGGCCTGTCCTAGCCATCAAGATGCGAGACAGATTTCCGGATGCATTGGTTACCGAATGCTGCTCCATATGAGAGCAAAAGCAAATCCCCTCTTGGCTCTGTGATCCTCCATTGACTAAGTTGAGTGATCTAGGCTGAGGTACGGAACAGCGTTCGGCGTAGGTGGCAGGTCTTTGATAAGGTAACCATAATATTGTTGCGTTATAAAGACTGTATCTCACAACATATTTTGGTTGGAGAAGCAAGAACTTTGTTTGACCAAGGGCTATTAGGTTCCGTTACTGTCACCAATTTTTCACTCTAAGAATTCCTTGATGTGTTTCTCCAACCTGATTTTTGTAAGCGCAACGCTCATTTTTGCCATCTGCTCAGGGTTCCCATCCAGCAACTCATAGATTGTATTCGCGTCTTTGCCCAAACCTATTTGCTCAGCTACCTGTAAATCGCGACTACCAAGAAACGGGCAAAGCGACGGCCAAAGCCCTTGCACGGTTGAGATGAAGATTTCGATACCAAGGGGACCAATTCCCTTGATCTCCTTCAGACGCTCTTTGAGCAGCTTACGCCCTGACTCAGCATCCGTTTCCAGAGGCAATATCCTTGATATGTCCGATCCTGATATGCAAATGAATGTCAGTACCCCTTGCAAGGTCCAGCCGAGAAGCGCGAATAAAGTATGCTGGGAATTGAGGGCTATGAGCATCCTCAAGGGCACATTACCATATTTATTTTTCACCAAAGTTGCTAGTTTTCCGAGCTCAGTGGCAGTGCTAAAATCATAACGAGCATATCCTGCTTCATCCAATAGGGCTACTCGTTCTTTCCATGTGCTTGCTTTCAACGTCTTCAGGTCATAGTAACCCTGCTTCATCAGATTGAGAAGAGCACGCCTCGCGATATGGTGTGAGATATGTGCACAAGACAAGAGTGCATTCAGGATATGAGACAGAATAGTGTCTGGCGTGGGTTTGTTCGGCGAGGGTATTCCCACGTCAGTGAGAGGAAGATCTCCATATTCCGCCATCAGTTTGTCGATCTTCTGGATCATAGGCGTAGAATTAGTCCTGGCTCTGTGTTTGATCATTTCCGCATCCAGAGCCTTGGCCTGTTCCTTTGCTGACTTCTTTCTAGCAATACCGCTTCGGGGAATCGAAGTACTCTCTGAAGGCGGCCGGTGTTTCTGTTTTCTCCCTTTTCCATATACTTCCTCCTCTTCTTGTGCCTTGCGCTTCCTTGGCGTGGCTCGGTCCGATTCCGGTACCCCTGAGATCGGCTTCAATTCTCTGCATTGCACTGCGGTGCGAGATTGTGCCCGAGTTAGAGGCATATTCAACATATACTCTGTGAAACAGACGCAGATGAGTCAGCATTGGGGTTGGCATAAACCAAAAATGATCGAAATGCATCATTTTATAGCTAAATTTGTTGGCTGGCGGTGGTGGTGTGATGAGGCGGAATAGTGGATCCTATGACATGCTGTAATCTGGTAGCTTTGTCCACAAGGCTACCATGTCCGGATTGAATTCCCAGAGCAGGCTAGAACCATGTAGCTAAAAAGGACAAAGTCAAAATCCCCGCTAACCATCTGATCTGGGCCTCAGACATAGTTCCATGGTTCCGATCCCCGCAGACAGAGACACAGATTGGCCTTTTGAGAGGCAAACAGCTGCTGCTTAATTATATGGTCTGACCTGACGTTTTTTCTGTTCGGCATTGCAAATATTATGACCAACCCACTCCTCCCCTCCAGTTACTTCCAGTTACTTTGGAATCATCTGAAGCCGTTGTATAATATTATTCCAACGCCCCGTGTACCCCACCAGGGGGAATTTCCCGATGCATGGGGAGTAGACTATAGCGTTAAAAAAGGAAAAGAGAAAAGAGAAAGGGACGGGCAAAAATATGAACCAGTTCGGCGAGGCAGATGTTATCGTCAACACAGTTTTCCTTGCTGTTGCCACTGTTTTTGTGGCTGCGCGATTCATATCTCGCATCTACATCGTTCATCGGGTAACCATGTCAGACTATGCGATGCTGATCGGCTGGGTCCTTGTCTCTGGCCTCTCGGCTGCCAATATCTATGCCACCACGAAAGGCTTAGGACTACGTGAAGGGGTCCTTGAAAGCTGGAGGGATCCACTGGCTCGGGCCGAGTACGTCTTTGGTGTACTCTATGTATGTTGTAAGTCTTCTCAGGAGGGCCTTTCTAGCTTATCCAACAAGACAAATATAGTATCCCGCTCTGGCGGCCATCAAGTTATCGATCCTCCTATTTTACCTGATGCTGGTAAAAGAAGAGTTCATCTTCCGTCTTGGAACCTACATCACTCTCTGGGTAGTCCTGCTGTCGGGGTCTGCTTTGACATTGGTCAACCTTTTCCCTTGTCGTCCTCTCTCGGCTTCCTTTCAGATTACCACCCCTCCTGGAACATATTGTATCGACATTGTCGCCCTCTATATTTCCACGGCTACCATTGATATCATCACTGATGTTGCTATCGTTTTACTTCCAATGCCGGTCCTATGGCGCGTACGACTCCCGCGAAGGCAGAAGGTTATTCTGCTGCTCACCTTCGGAACGGGCCTGTTTGTTATTGTGATCAGTGTCCTCCGCACAGAGTTTCTCTTACAGAGAGCAATCCAACGGGTGACCAAACCCCAACCGCCTAGTGTCCACGATCTGTCCTGTAGGCTTTGCTCCACTTTGCTTACTTTTCCTACTTGCCCGCGGCACAAGCTGACCACATCGCCATAGATTACGATGCATATGTCTTTTTATGGTCAGCGCTCGAACTGAGCCTAGGGATCATGTGTGGCTGCGTACCGATGTTAAAGCCTCTCATCGGTCGTCTCCTTCCACGGCTTCTCTACGCTTCTAGCCTTTCCAGTGAACGGACGGAGCATGAGCCATTCGCCTTGTCGGAAGATGCTGCTCCGCTGAGCCCAAGAGAAAGCACCCCAGCTATACCCCTTTCCTCTATGGACCAAATGCCTCGTCAGCAGACTTTCCTATCGACGTCTGGAGGGGGACCAGTCAGTCCACCCCCAGACTTTGTCGGAATAGCCAGATCGAAGAACATCCTAGCCATGAGTGGACGAGAATCCATGATGCCACTTGCCGTGATCTTCACCATTTTCTTGCTGTGGGGGTTTGCGTATGGCATCCTTATTACGTTCTACTGGGAATTCTCGCAAGCTAGCCATCGTAATCAAGATGTGAGCTTTGCCTTGCACGCGACTTTTTTCGGAGCCTACCTCTTCGGGCCAATTCTAGTAGCGAGACCTAGTTTGCAAAGGTGGGGCTTCCAAATCACCGTCGTCGTGGGCCTCTCGATCTTCTGGTGCGGAATGTTGTTATTCTGGCCGGCTACGGTGCTTGTCTCACTCCCAGAGCTCTTCATTGCTAGCTTCGTTGCTGGGCTGGGAATCTCTGTTTTGGAAACGTCTGCGGATCTCTTCGTTGCACTCTGTGGGCCACAGGGTCGAGGCGGAATGCGACTGAGTATCGCCCGAGGTATCCAAGCTGTTGGTTGGGCAGCATCACCTACATTTGCTCAGCAGGTGCTCTTCAAGCATACAACTAGTGCATCAACATTGATCACTGTTCAATGGATCTTTCTTGTCCTTGCGATAGTGCCACTGGTGCTGGTGGTTATGTGCAGTCTCCTGCCACTTCCAGAGGTGTCTAACGAAGAGCTTGATGAACTTGCTGAGCAATGTCAACAAAACGTCGCACCGTCCGTGTGTGGGGTTCATGTCGCCTGGATAACTTTGGTCCTAGCATTCCTGGCGCAATTCTGCACCATTGGTGGTCAGGAAGCCTTTCATACAAATTTCAAGTCCCTCGTCATATTCAACGTACCACAGTAAGCCTCTCCTCGCGCCACTAAAGGCCCATCTGTTCCCTGGCTAACCTCTCCGCAGCCCTCATCCGCCTGTCTACGGCTTTGCCGCCATCAGATATTCCGCATTTGCCGCAGGTTGTTTTGTAACCGCACTGGGACTGCGGTTTGTCAAGCCGGCCCAGGCTCTGCTGATCCTGTATCTGTGTGCTATCATTTTTTCTGTCCTCACCATGATGATAGAAGGCTACTCAGGCATCGCGATGGCTATCGTCCTTTCATTTTTCAGCGCTGGCATTTTCCCTATTACCTTTGTGATCGGTATCCACGGCATGGGACGACACACGAAGAGTGTTAATCAATCAATCAATCAATCAAGATTCTATTAACCTGTTAGAGCCTGTCTATAGAAGCGACTAGCTATGCAGGCGCTTCACTAAATAAAGTAGGAATCTAGTATCTAAACACCTATCCTATAACCCATAAATATAGATAAAGATATAAGAAATATTAAAAAGAATATAAAAATTATAACTAAAGTAGCCTACCACTTAACTACATATCTCCCCTATACTATCTAGCGCGATACCTATCCTACCTTATTCCATATAGTTATTCTAAACATAGTGTAATTCCACATCTAGGAAGACCCTCCCTAGGCAGCTATTCAGTCTATCTAACCATCATCTTCTATATCTATTCTAGAGCCTTACAGGAGGCTTCTATATTCCTAGTTCTGCTTATCTACTATTTCTATATAGCAGAACTAGCTAAGCAGGCCTATTTAATGTATAAATTTAGTAATATAGTAGATTACCTATAGGTTAGATATAAGTATATTATAGTCTGATAGTTTCCCCTAGAGTCCCTCTATATTATATAGCTTAGTAATTATCTTCCTATAGGCTTCTATATATAGTAAATACTATAGGAGAATATACTTAGGGGTCTAGGACCCCTCTCTATAGCTATACTAGTCTATATTATAGGCCTTAATCTTAAAAAGGAAGTATTATAGACTAATTTATATAGTCTATATTTAGATAATAATTAATATATATAGCTTTAGTAGGCCCTTATAGAGTCCTAGATTCTTCTTATAAGGGGCCTTAATTAGCTACTATATTAGCTTAGCCCCTCTCTCTATCTCCTACTATTTCTTCTAGTGCTGCTAGATTTATTAGTGAACAGCCTATTTAGTAGCTATAGTAAGCTAGATAATTAGATATTCTAGCTAATTAGTCTACCCTACTAAGCTTAATTAAACCTTACTATCTTATATAGCAGCCTCCTTCACTACCTTATTTATAGCCTTATTCCCCGCCACACCTATATAGGTGGGGATCTAGTATATCTTAATATTTTCTAGGGGTAGCCTATATATCCCTAGGGCCTATATACTTCTATATATTATATTTAGGATGTACTAGCTGGAGGGGTGATATAGATTCTAGACTACCTAGATAGTAGCCTAACTATTAGTAAAGAGGGTAAGTAAATAGGGGCTAGTAGGGAGGTGGCTTAGTTTTATAGTAATATTTAGTACTATATAGATTCCCTCTAGCTTAGTAGTATATATAGTTAAGTCTGCCTCTATACCTAGATAGCTCTAGTAGATCTATTACTCTTAGAGGTAGATAGCTAAGGCACTAATATATCTCTAGTAGCTACTACTATTAGTATAGATAACTAGGTCTTAGTTATCTGCCTTATTATATATCTTATTATAGGTCTTTAGTGCAGCTTTATAATCTTTAATTATATAATAGAGGGGGAGCTCCCAGAGGGGGAGTATATATACTTTCTATATTTCCTATTCTTCTAGATATTTTAGGGTAGGGGCTAGTAGGCTACCTCTCCTCCTAAGTACCTCTAGTAGGGTAAGGCCACTCTGCTATATTTCTCTAGTTAGTTATAGCTTCCCTATAAGTCCTTAGGGGCAGGCAAACCTTAGCCCTATCTAGATTTAAATAGTAGTTTCCTTAATGATCTATTACATCTATAAGTAGATTAGTAATAGGTGTAGTTCTATATTAAGTATAGCTGTAGTGATCTCTTAGAAGGCACTACTAATTAGGATGGCTGTATATTTCTAGATTTTAGTAAATTTATTAGTTATCTTAGTCTATTCCCCTGCTGGGATCTATCTAGGGTTAAACCATATAGCTACCCTATACAGGAGCTACAGGATGACTACTCTGTGATAGATTATATATATAGCTTCTAGTAAGGCACCCTAGGTTAATTTAGTGATGCTTTAGAGTGCTTCTAGGCTGCTATTTATATAGTTAATCACCTTAGTGTGGTGGGTATTAAAGGAAAGGGTTTTATTAAGCTAGATACTAAGGTATCTAGCTAATTTAGTAGGTTGGATAGTGGTTTCCCCATAGTAGATAGGTATTTAGTTATGGCCTTTATATTTACCTAGTTCCTAGATGTTGATAGGCCTCTTAGGGTTAGTTAATAGGGGGTATTAGGTTCCTTTAGATTAGTAAAATAGATTAATTTAAATTTATTAGGGGTGAATCTAGTAGTGTGCCTACTAGCCTAGTGATCTGCCTTCTTCAGGCACTTCTCTAGGACTATGACATTCTAGACATAGGTCTAGCTAACAGTAAGTGTGTAAGAGTTATCTATCTAGCTAATAGATATTATCTTTATACTACTAACCTGATTAAATAGCATTTAGATTAATGAGGTATTAAAGATTAAGAAGAGAATTAGTAAGAGGGGACTGTCTTATAGGATCCCTATTAGAGTTATAAACTATTTACTTAGGAACTCTAGTAGCTATAGGTAGGTATAGTAGTTTAATAGAAAGGATTATAGCTAGTTAGTAATCCCACCTAGCTGCATAGTTTAGATGTTATGTAGTAGATACTAAAGGGAGATATTATTAAAGGCTCTAGAGATATCTAGTAGTAGTATACTAACTTTCTAGCCATATCCCTACGCGTGGTAGATTATATTAATAATTAATTAGATAGTATAGTTAATAGAGACACCTTTCTAGCTACCTAAGTGGCCTATTAGGAGTAGATTATATTTCTCTAGAGCCCAAGATATATATAACATGATGATTGACTCTAGGACCTTACCTAGGGTATTAAGCAGGGTAATAGGGCAGTAGGACTTTAGGAGGCAGAAATCTTAGGGGGCTGCCTTATAGAGAATAACTATAGTAGATACCTAGAAGTATTAGGGATTATAGCTAATATAAATACAGGTATTAAATAAGGTTTTAAGTGCTTAGATAAAGGCTAGAACCATAGTTAGGGCATACTAGACCTTATTAGGAATAGTATCTAGCCTAGGTGCTTTATCAGGAGGTACCTATCTAATAGCTTTAGTAATCTTATACTTATTAATATCTAGGAAGGGAATATCCTATGATTAGTTATATTTCCTTTCTTTAATATCTGAGAAATCAGTGGCTGGGGGTAATAGGAAGAAGGCCTTATAGAGTAGGTTAGCCTTCTGCTCTACTATCTCTATAATATGGTTTCTATAGCAAAGGGTAGGGATAAGGCCTGCTTAGTCCCTAGTATAATTACAGGCCTATTTAGTAATACACTATATACTATAGGGGCCTTAATCTACTATCTACTAGATACATCTATAGTGACCCTGCTACAGGGATTAGGAGATGACCTTTCCTTTATAGTTACAGGCCTTCATGTATACAGTCTAGTCATTATTAGTATATATTCTAGTATAGATCTATTAGTAAAGGTAGATTTATTTAACCATCTTAGTATATTTAGGCATCTAGTTAGGGTTAGCCTATTTAGAAGAGTGTGCCCATAGTGTAGAATAGGTAATAGCTTACTAGATAGTTTTAAGAAGATAGTTAGTAGTATCCTTAATTTAATTAGGGGTTTTAAGGTCTCTGCACCACCTATAGGGGTTAATATTTATAGTAATGAATTTATAGAGCTTCTACATATCTATAGCCTTCTAGTTATAGTATTTCAGGGCCTGCGGCGGTGGTGTTAAGATATTAAGAAGTAGGTAAATTAGTAGGTAGTTAGAGTCTATATAGATATTCAGAGCCACCTTATAGGCTATAAGATGGGCTATTAGGTCCATAGAGCTAAATATTAGATTAATAGTTAATCAGTGGCCTTACTTATTATAGGTGATAGTGTCTAGCTCTGTCTATAGATCCAGGAGCTAGATATTAGTTAGTTCTAGGAGCCTATTAGATCTGGGGTTAGTATAGCAGACATGATCACCCCCCTAGGCTAGGTAATGGAGATTAAAATCTCTTAGGAGCAGGCAGCCATCTTATTAATTTATAATTTACTCTAGGAGGTTGAGGGTGTCTGTTTAGGTATTAGTATTAAGGTATAGATTATATATATTATATAGGCATAGTGTTCTAGTATTATAATATAGCTTAAGCTCCTAGCAGTCCTATAAGTAAGCTATATATTTTTATTTATTAGGGTCTATCTTATAAGAGATATAGAGATAGACCTAGGTATAGCTACTAGTTTCTACTTCCTTAGGATAGAGTAGCTAGTGGGTTGCCTTAGCAGGGTAGTAGGTGGTATCCTAGAATAGATTATCCTAGGGTTCTTATATAGTAATAATATCTGCCCTTAGGACCTCTAGGTTATATAAGAACTAAGCTATTACCACATTCTTAGAATAGTGCACATTATATTAAAGAATTTAGAATGTTCTATTCATAGGGAGCATAGTATAGGGTGTTCTATATACTTTTTTAGTAGCTACTAGTGAACTAGGGTATCCTGGTTTCTATAGAGAAGTTAACCTAGGGGTCTTTCTCTAGTTATATAGAGGTATCTAGCCCCTATTTCTACTTCTTCTTCTTCTTAGCCTAGGTGCTAGAGTTAGTATTAGTATCCTTATCCTATAGGACTAAGCTAGGTTACTAGTCACTCCCTGGGGTTTTAGGGAGTTTAGTATAACTATTCTTATCTTTATTATTAGTGGTGGTGTCATCCTAATATATATTAAGGTAGGTCCTATATATAGTAGTAGTTTATTAGTTCTATAGTAGCTTCAGGGGGTGGATGTCATCTTTATTAGTTAGGTTTAGTAGATTAATATTATTTAGGTAGTCTATGATTTAAGTAGAGTAGTGGGAGGTAGTAGAGCTGGTTTAATTAGTTAAGGCCTTCCTTAGGGATAAAGATAGGGCTTTAGAGGGTAGTACTAAGGGGGTAAATAAGATATTATTAATATTCTAGTCTAATAGTAATGTTAGGGATAATATTAAGGTAGATACTTAGCCATAGGGTGGCTGCTTATAAGATAGCTCTAATCTTACTTTCTTAGACCCCTTAGATAGTCTAGTAGCTATTTTTATTATAGTAGATCCCTTAGTGCCCTTAGGTCCCTCTATTTATATTAGAGAGCCCTCTACTGAGGCATCTATATCTATAGGGGTGGATGTTAGGGTAGAGATACTTAGTATAGTAGTAGAATCTAAGCTACTACTCTTAGAGTCTCTTTAGAAGTCTTATAGATATAGCAGAATATAGTAATATTACTAGTAGTAGTAAAATATTATTTATATCTTATCTACCTCCTTTATATACTTCTTATATCCTTTAGACTAGGCAGTATATACATCCCTATAGTTAGTATACTTTTATAACTCCTAGTTAGTAGTAGCCTGCTGTAGTAGGCAGTTATAGGTCTTATAGCTATCTATATAGAGGCTATAAATAGTTTTATTAGAATAGATATTTCCTATATAGCTATATTACTAATAGTTAAAATACTAGTAGATATAAGCAGACTAGTTATATAAGACTATAGTTAAAATAGTAGAATCCTAGATAGTTCTCTTATTAATAGCTTTATTAGTAGCCTAGGGGGTAGAGAACTTAATTACTAGGGTAGAGGATTTCTTATTAGTAGGTTAGTTTATAAGCTAGGTAATATAGATAATTTTTACTAAGTTATCCTATATAAAGTAGTTTATAGTAAGTAGCTAGTTAGCTACTTACTTAGCTTCTCTAGGGTCTATTAGATTACTAATTAATTTAACCTAGATATTATAAACCACTATACCCTATATTAGTAGATAAATAATAGCTCCCTAGTAGAATGACTTAGCCTAGCTAGGGTAGTAGTATATAATCTTAGCCTATTATATAGTCTATAGGCTAAGGCTTAAGTTACCTAACTTAAGCTAGTAAGTAACTATAAACTTAATAGATATAAGAGTAGCTATTATAACCTTCTTTAAGGCCTTTATATAGGCCTTCTTAGCCCTATTCTTTATCTCTACTATTTTTAGATAGTAGAATATGCTCATAGCTCTAGTATCTAGTAGTTTAATAATAATCTTATAGTCCTTACTTAGTTCTAAGAGGGTCACCCTAGGGCTACTTAATAAATTATAGGAGGAGACTATATAGCCTAGGGGCAGCACTCCTATAGTAGTAGCTATATATAAGTAAACCTTAGTAGATATAGAAATAGATTAAGTAGTTAGAATATACTAGATAGAGGTAGTATTCTTTTTAATATTAAGAGTAATCTTATAAAGATTAGTAACTACCTTTCTCTAGTTATTACCTAGGGGGTTTTTTAAGACCTTCTTAATAATAGTATATATATTAGTAATTAGCTTAATAAGAGGCTTTAGGATTCCTTAATTATAAATCTTTAAATAGTTTAAATAGATGCTTATATCATAATAAAGGTCTAGAATATAATTATATAGAGTTTTCTATAGCCCCTTTTCACTACTATAGGAGGCCATTAGGGGCAGCCACCCTGGCTTTAATAATAATATAGCAATTAAGACCCTATAAAATTAGGATTAATTAAAGGCGGTCGTCGTCACAAGAAATTAGGCAAATTTTAGGGTTAAAAGACATTAATTTAGGTAAGAAATTTCAAAAATTTATTCTGCGTCGAAGTTATTGTTTTCCACACGAAGAGTGCAGCAGCAATTTTGACTACAGCAGCAACTGGCGGCGCGCTGTTTCCATCCATTCAAAATATTATATCTGTGTGGCACAGATACCGATATGGTTTCTGCATTGAGGTCGCGCTTTTCTCCGCTGGCTCGCTCTTTTCATGCTACCTAAACCTCATTCCGGCTGCTCGGAAACAGGCTGCTACCGCCACCCATAACCTCGAGAGGGGATGATTATGGGAATCAAGGTCGTTATGAAGCAATATAGTACATGTGCGCGCTGGAAATTCCATAATGCTAGCCATTTTCCTTAGTAATCCTATTTAATTTTAAAGGGAAAGCAAAGAAAAGGCATTTTCTAAGTAAATCAATACAGCGTAGTAGCAGTGGGACCTTTAACTTCAGGGGTCATTACAAAATATGGTTGATTACGCCAGGGGTACAAATTAAAAGTTAACTACTTGGATCTGTTACACATATTGACAATTACGCATTTTAGACAAAGGGCACGCAGTTACCCCAGTACCTTCGCTTCCTATCTAGGGCTTACTGAGAGCGACTATGGACACCGGTTGCCACCAGCCCGTGAAGCTTGCCTTGATAACTGTCTTCTATCGATCTGGGGTCTCCGAATTATTGGCTGCTCTCCTTTTCATGTCTTCTTGAAAGCTATGACATGAGTTCCAGCCCAATCATCTGTCAGTCGAACTGCGCCATAGACTCTTTCATGCGCAACACATTTTAGTCCTGCTCCCTCTACCATCTCAATAAAGTGTCACGGATGTGTTTTTTGCTCCACGCCATAACGAGTCCTCCCACTCGAGCTTGCCACTCGAGCCGCTGCAATCCCCAGAACGGTAAGATGCGGATCAGAGACTTGATTGGGAACCTGTGTCGCTTCGTTCGGGACAGTAATCCCCGGCAAAGTCTCTCTGCACCGCCAGCTTCGCCATTATCCACGACGAACTCGGCCTGTGGGACGGTATTATTGAAGTCGTTGACGAATTCTCGCTCCCAGTGTGTTCGGGGATCGACGTTTGACAACAAAAGATCGGTGTGTTGGAGCTGCCAAGCGAGGTCGACTCATATAATTTCCACAAGATAACACATCAACGCTATAGACTATGTGTTTGCTGAACAATATCACCACAATGCGTCTGGGGTTCCGGCCATCGGTCCTGGTAAACACAACTGTCCAAGGGGTAGCGAGATTGAGCCAAGCGAACTAGGCGATTAAGAACGCTGAACTCCATCTTTAGCTTAATGCTGTAAACAACTGTCTTATAAGTCGTCTGAATGTCAAAGTTGTTGCTGTATTCTGTTGCAAGCAGAGAGGCATCCAAGAGAACCACAAGGATGTTAACGATAAGAAGGTGGACCATGGTGCCTTGAGAACGGAGGTGAACGATGCCGAGTATAGGCTTCAGCATCTTAGTTGCCTCCCACATATAGAGGCAGCTGATGATGATTTCCTGCGTGGAGAATCCAGCAAGCTGGATTCTCTCGTAGATATTGAAGGGCTCGACAAAATTCTTCACATTCGCATTGCTGCCAAGAAATAGGATGGTGACCGGAACATGTAGGATGCAGAAATTGATGATGATCATATATAGCACCCATCGAATATTTTTCGCATCACTTGTCACAAGATGAAGGCGTGAATATAGGACAACCGACTGTCCGGTCACCATAGCATACCAACCGAGTACGGTAAGAACGCACATGGCGAAATTAGGTGCCAGCGCGAAGAACCGCAAGAACACAGCAATTGTATGAACCAAGATACCCCAAGTTGCTATCAGCATGCTCCAAAAATAAAGACCACGATATCTCTTGAATGTCATGAAAATTTGAATGGTGATCTCTAGCACGTTATAGCATGAGATGGCGAAAAATGATGCAATAAGCATTGCACGTCCTCGGGAAATATTAAGAGCGCCTGTTTCCCCTGCCATAATATATGACTTCGCTTGGTTGTTTGGACTGAGTCTGACCGAAACAACAGGCGCAGCACCTTGCCAACCTTTAAAGGTTCTATTCTCTTCCTTGCATCGGGATTTATGAGAACCAGTGTGAAACAAATGTGCTGGAGATGTCAACGGAGATGTCAACAGATACTGGTGGGATGTAATATGTCATCAGAAGCAAGTTCTTAGCAGGGTAAGTTAAACTAGCCTTTATGCTAACCAAATACCAAAAAAACAGATGTTGCACCACTACGAATAAACGAAGAACAAGGTTTAACCACACCTCGCCTTCCTCTGGTACCCTCATATTCCAGCTCAGGTTTGCCCCCTACAGCGGAGACCACATGACTTTGACTTTGGGTCAGTCCACCGAGTCCCACCACCTCCCCATCTCATCCATGGAAATATCATTGACACCACTCGCTCGATTGAAGACTTCAGGCTTGGTTCTAGGATCTTAGTCATATCACTAGTACAATCCTCTAACCTCAGGAGGAATGGCCTTATCTTGTCGGGTTAGTTGATGGACAATACCTACTAGGATAGAGCGCCATGATAGCAGGCAAGACACACAGGCTGCCCTGAAGGCTTGAAGACCAGCTAAACAAAGTAAAAAAAAAGGGGGGGAAAAAGGGGGGGAAAAAGGAAAAAAAAAAAGAAAGAAAGAAATTAACCAGGGCTGTTGAAGTCCCCTATTCAGTTCAATAGCTCTTATCAGCCATTACTACGCGCATTGTAGTAATTGTAGACTACATACCGACAGGCTAATTGTGAAGAAAATTTCTGCACTGAAAAATTAAAATTAGGTGAGGAATAACAAATATTAAGTACATAATAGGGATTAAGCGTCCATGTTCCCCCCGTTGTCATGCCAGCTTCGTGACAATAGAATACAGGAAGAATGCTGAGACACTGTTCACTCATCATTATGTTCCTTCTCCTTCCAGGTATAAGAACCTGCGACGTCTTATTAAGAAATATTATTGTTATTTGCAAAATTGGCTAGCTCTGATATACTCAAAGCTTGTGGGCTACTATGGTTGGCTACCGAATCCGGTCATGCGAAAGGTCGACATGACCAGATCTAACCCTCCTGCTCAAGATGCCCAAAGCGCTCACGGAGGTGTGCCTGTTCTTATCTATCGCCGCAAAAGCGAAGAAACCTTTATCGAATCCTTAAGCGTTCATAGTTCCAAGCTATCTATCAAGCGTCTAGACTTGTGCGCGGAAGGGTGGCAATTGCTCTCTTGTACCCAAGTTTGAGAGTGATCACAGCAAGCAATGTATTCTTGTCCACAAACCCATATGGAATTCCTGGTACCGTTTTATAGCGTCAACATTGGAAAGCTAGGCACTAGTTTATGGATAGCAACCCCCATAAACCAAGTGCAATAATGTCACATCCCGCATGGGTCTTGAGTCCAGCCTGCGGCATGTAGACAACCGTGAGAAATCACTGTCTCCACCATAATTCTACTCGGGGTGCCCCTTACCGCGCCATCGCCACAAACCATCCCCAGCCCAGTCGAGGGTAACCGGTCAAGGAATATCTATCTATTCTGCCTTGTGTTACTTTTTAAAGCCTCTCAGACATGCATACCTTCTTGTTTTGGGCTAAGAAAGCATTCACAAACACATCATTCCGACAGGTAATTGGCTTGTTCATGGCGTATGCAAGGAGGCAACCCCCTCTCTGTCGGGATAAATAACACTATTCGTGACTTTTAGGTTAGCTGTAGAATTAAGTCCATCGCAGCCAAGTTCGAGTTTTAACGTTTAACAACAGCTACCTAGCATCCGTTTCCATCCCCTCGCCTTCGTGATACCCAGCAAAAATGACCGTCAACTCGAAGGTGGTGGTCGGTGCTACGGGTAATAGCTCACGTTTTCTATGCCATCCCATCCTCCACTCAAGATAGGAAGGTTGTCGTCTTTCTAACCTATTCGGCCACAGGGAAGCAGGGAGGTTCTGTCGCTCGTTCTCTTCTTCAGAATAAATACTTTCACGTACGCTGCATTACTCGATCCCCCACATCCGCCAAGGCCAAGCAGCTTGCCAGCCTGGGGGCCGAGATGTGTCAGGCAGATGGCTTCAGCGAGACTGACCTGCTTCGCGCTTTCAATGGGAGCTGGGGAGCCTTCGTCAATACCAACTCCGAGAACCCCGTTTGTTCATCCTCGTCCCACATCCACCTCCCCTGTACGCTGCCTTGCTATTGAGGCTGATTTCCGATAGGAACTTGCTAGTAACGGACGCACAGACGAAGAGCTAGGCAAGAATATCGTCCGGTGCGCTGCGCTTGCCGGAGTCCAGCACCTGGTGTACACTCCAACCCGCAACTGAATGGGTTAACCATACCTAATCCGCATGGATATGGATAACCCATTAGGAGCACTGGTGACGTGATTCAGTGCCTCTTAGAACTAATAAGCTTATCTAACTATATCTAGGCCAAGATAGGGATATATTTATAGATATAGATAGAGAATAGGCATGTCTATCTATATATAAAATAAAATATTATATTTAAGTAGCTTTTTGGTTTTAGATGATGGTGATTAGGATGGTAGTGGTACAATATATATCTCCGCACCACATTCATACTAACATTAGGCATCACCGCTACTCTACCCCAAGGCTATTTTCCTTATATAGTAGGTAATATATAATATTTATATAATGATTTGAACCAGAACGGACTTTGCCACACCCAGGGTCGGCAGATACCCACAACGCTATGCATGATTCGCGTTGTTGCCAATCTATGAAGAGCGGATGGGTCACAAACCATTGACACGTTCCCTGTGCTCGATTCGGATTTCGATCTTTACGCTCTCGGAATGGACAGTACGGAGCTTTCTCAATAGAGCAATTCAAGTATCTTTTCATTCCGTATGTTGACCATTCGACCTGCTCGTCATGTCATATAACAAAATCTGATCTATTTTGCTCTATGAGTGTCAAGATGCATATGCGGTAGCACAATACCATACCTGGAGTCCACAGATCTAAGACTGCTCTTGCAGCAGCCGCAGCTGTTCTAGCGGCGTAAGGCTACCACCGCTTGCTCTTGTGACCGTCCGCATAGTAGGATGCTCCTTTAATGACCAAGACACTCGAAAATGTCTCCCAGACACCAGCGACTTCCATTTCAAAAGCAATGACTTGATCCCGACCAACGATACTGGCGCGGTCTTCTCCTGATCTCATCACTGTATTGCCAGACCCGATCAGGCCAAAATGAATGACAGGTTTGGATGAGGAGGCACGATGAACTACTTCTTGCTCCTTGCACTGCAGCTGATCACAGGTCATCTCAAGTGCCAACTCACATATTCCAGCGTCGTCTTCCCCGGTTCTACATATCCCACAGGTGGAGTATTTGCCGTGTTTATGTTGATATGAAGAGTTAAACAGCTTGTCCCCCGCTGGCCCTGGGTATTCTGTCTCATCACCCAGTTTTTGCCTGATGGTCTCCGCATATTCCCATATTTTCTGCTCAAGGCATGATCGATGTGCAGAGTTTGCAACGTGGCTAGGGTTCCGCGAATCTGAGCACGCGGTAGTGGAAGATTAATGTACACACTGTCCTTACGCAGAATTCTATTACCGAGAAGTCGTCTACGCATGTCGTATTGGATGAGGCCTTTGCTGATGATCACGTCGCCTAGATTAATATCTTGCCCGTTCCTTCCCTGAAGTACGGCACCACAGATACCGACCACAATTACGAGCTCGATATTTGGAAAGCTGGAACGCACACCAGCCGCCGTTGTTGCGGCGGCAACCTTGCCCACACTGGGCATGTGTGCTAGAACCACGTTGTAGCGCCCAAGGACACCCATGGAATATGAATTTCCATCACCTAGCATCTTCCCATGTTTGGCTACACCGAAACTTTCGTCGAACAAGGCGGCAACGGCCGCTGCTTCCAGTCGAGGGCGCATATGATGGCAACTGTGAAATTGTGCGCAATCAGTCAATCAATCAATCAATCAAGATTCTATTAACCTGATGTAGCCTATCTATTAAAGTGATTAGCTATGCAGGCACTTCGCCAATGAAGCAGGAATCTAGTATCTGAATGCCTGAAGCCCATAATTAACCCATAAATGCAGAAGAGATATAGGAAATTAGTGTATAGCCATATTAAAAGTAGATTATATAACTAAAGTAGCCTGCTATCTAGCTATATATCTCCTCTATACTACCTTAGTGTGTTAAACACCTATCCTACCTTATTCTATATAGTTATTCTAAATATAGTGTGATTCTATGCCTAGGAAGACCCTTCCTAGGTAGCTATTTAGTCTATTTAACTATTATCTTCTATATCTATTCCAGAGTCTTATAGGAGGCTTCTATATTCCTAGTCCTGCTCTATTAATTCTACTAATTCTATTATCTTAGTATAGTAGAACTGGCTGAGTAGGCCTATTTAATATATAAATTTAGTAATGTAGTAGATTACCTATAGATTAGATATAAATATATTATAATCTAATAGTTTCCCCCAGAGTCCCTCTATATTATATAGCTTAGCTATTATCTTCCTATAGGTATCTATATATAGTGAGCACTGTAGGAGTATATACTTAGGGGTCTAAGATCCCTCTTTATAGCTATACTAGTCTAAGTTATAGGCCTTAATCTTAAAGAGGAAGTATCACAGACTAATCTATATAGTCTATATCTAAATAATAATTAATATATATAGCTTTAGTAGGCCCTTATAGAGTCCTAGATTCTTCTTATAAGGGGCCTTAATTAGCTATTATATTAGCTTAGCCCCTTTCTCTATCTCCTATTATTTCTTCTAGTATTACTAGATTTATTAGTAGATAGCTTACTTAGCTACTATAGTAAGCTAGATAATTAGTTTTTCTAGCTACTCTACTAAACTTAATTTAATCTTACTACCTTATATAGTAGCCTTCTTTACTACCTTATCTATAGCCTTATTCCCTGCCACACCTATATGGGTAGGGATCTAGTATATCTTTATATTATCTAGAGGTAGTCTATATACCCCTAGGGCCCTTACTTCCTTATATATATTATCTAAAATATATTAGCTAGAGGGGTAGTGTGGGTTCTACACTACCTAGATAGTAGCCTAGCTATTAGTAAAGATAATAAGTAAGTATAGGCTTAATGCTCTAGTAGTAGTAGTATATAGTACTATATAGATTCTATCTAGTTTAGTAGTATAGATAGTTAAATCTATCTCTGTGCCTAGATGGTTCTAGTAGATCTATTAGTTATAGAGGTAGATAGCTAAGGTACCTATATAGCCCTGGTAGCTACTACTATTAGTATAGATAACTAAGTACTAGTTATTAACTTCTTTATATATCTTATTATGGGTTATTAGTGTAGCTTTATAGTCTATAATTATATAATAGAGGGGTGGCTTCTATGGGGGGAGTATATATACTTTCTATATTTCTTATTCTTCTAGGTATCTTAGGGTAGGGCCTAATAGGCTACCTCTCTTCCTAAGTACCTCTAGTAGAGTAAGGCTACTCTACTATATCTCTCTAATTAGTTATAACTTCCCTATAAGTCCTTATAGGCATATAAAATATAGCCCTATTTAGATTTAAATAGTAGTTTCCTTAATAATTTATTACATCTACAGGTAGATTAGTAATAGATATAATTCTATATTAAGTATAGCTATAGTAGTTCCCTAGAAGATACTACTAATTAGTATAGTAGCATGCTTCTAGATCTTAGTAAATTTATTAATAATCTTAGTCTATTCCCCTACTGGAATCAGCCTGCTAGTAGGGCTAAACTATACTATAACTCTGTATAGTAGCTGCAGGATGACTATACTATAATAGATTATATATATAGTCTTTAGTAAAGCATCCTAGGTTAATCTAGTAATACTTTATAGTGCCTCCAGGCTGCTATTTATATAGTTAATCACCTTAGTATAGTGGGTGTTAAAGGAAAGGGTTTTATTAAGCTAGATACTAAGGTATCTAGCTAATTTAGTAGGTTAAATAGTGGTTTCTCTATAGTAGATAGATATTTAATTATAGCCTTTATATTCACCTAGTTCCTAGATATTAATAGGGCCTGTCAGGGTTAACTTATAGGGTTATTCTAGTTCTTTTAGATTAGTAAAGTAGATTAGTTTAAACTTATCAGGGGTGAACTTAGTAGTATACTTACTAGCCTAGTAGTCTACCTTCTCTAGGCACTTCTCTAGGACTATAATATTCTAGGCATAGGTCTGACTAATAGTAAGTATATAGAAGTTATCTATCTAGCTAATAGATATAGTTTTTATATTACTAAGCTAGTGGACTAGTATTTAGATTAGTAGGGTATTAAAAATTAAGAAAAGGATGGGTAAGAGGGGGCTGCCTTATAGAATCCCTATTATAGTTATAAATAGGTTATTAAGGAACCCAGGCAGCTATAGGTAGGTATAGTAATTTAATAAGAAGGATTATAGCTAGTTAGTAGCCTAGCCTAGCTATATAGTTTAGAGATTATATAGTAGGTATTAGAGGGAGATATTATTAAATATACTAGAGATATCTAATAGTAGTATATTAACCTTCTATCTAGACCCCTAAGTATGATAGATTATATTAATAATTAGTTAGATAATATAATTAATAGAGATGCCTTTCTAGCTACCTAAGTAATCTTTTAGAAGTAAGCTATATTCCTCTAGCACCTAGGAGATATAAAGTATAATAATTAACTCTAGAATCTTGCCTAGGATATTAAGTAGGGTAATAGGGTGGTAGGACTTTAGAAGGTAGAAATCTTAGGGGGCTGCCTTATAAAGAATAACTATAGTAAATACCTAGAAGTATTAGGGATTATAACTAATATAGATATAGATATTAAATAGGGTCTTAATTACCTAAATAAAAGTTAGGATAGCTGTTAGGGCATGCTAGACCTTATTTAGGATAGTATCTAGTCCTAGCACCTTCTTAGGAGGCGTATGCCTAATGGCTTTAGTAATTTCCTAGTTATTAATTTTAGGGAAGATAATATTCTATAATTAGTTATATATTCTGCCCTCTATATCTAAGAGGTCTGTAGCTAGCAGTACTAGGAAGAAGGTCTTATAGAGTAGGTTAGCTTTCTGCTTAGCTATCTCTATAATATAATCTCTATAGTAGAGGGTAGAGATAATGCCTATCTAGCTATCTCCCTAGTAGTTCTAGGCCTACTTAGTAATATGCCACATGCCCTAGGGGCCTTAATTAACTATCTATTATATATATTTATAATAGCTATACTATAGGGATTAGGAGATGACCTTCCCTTTCTAGTTACAGGTCTTGGTGTATATAGTCTAGTTATTATTAGTATATATACTAGTATAGATTTATTAGTAGAGATATACCAGCTTAACTATCTTAGTATATTTAGATATCTAGTTAGGGTTAGCCTACTTAGAGGGATGGGCCCATAGTGTAGACTAGATAATAGCTTACTAGATAACTTTAATAAGGTAGTTAGTAGTATTATTAATCTAATAGGGGGTTTTGAGATTCCTAGTCCATCTATATAGATTAAGATTAAAGGATATAAATATATAGAGCTTCTGTGCATCTATAGCCTTCTAGTTATAGTATTTAGGGGCCTGCGGCAGGGGCATTATGATATTAAGAAGTAGGTAAATTAGCAGGTAGTTAGAATTAGTATAGATATTAGGGGCCACCTTACAGGCCATAAGGTGGGCTATTAGATCTATAGATCTAAATATTAGATTAATAGTTAATTAGTAGCCCTGCTTATTATAGGTGGTAGTGCCTAGTTCTGTCTATAGATCCAGGAGCTAGGTATTAGCTAGTTCTAATAGTTTATTAGACCTAGGGTTAGTATAGCAGATGTGGTTACTGCCCTAGGCTGGGTAGTAGAGGTTAAAATCTCCTAGAAGTAGATAGCTACTATCCTGCTAGTCTAGAACCTACTCTAGGAGGTTAAGGGTGTTAGTTTAGGTGTTAGTATCTAGGTATAGATTATAGATATTATATAGGTGGAGTATTCTAGTATTATAGTATAGCTTAAGCTTCTAGTAGTTCTATAAGTAGGCTATATGCTTCTATTTAGTAGGGTCTATCTAGTAAGAGATATAGAGGTAGACCTAGATATAGCTACTAGTTTCTATTATCTTAAGGTAGAGTAGCTAGTAAGTTACTTAAGTAGGATAGTAGGTAGTATCTTAGTATAGGTTATCCTATAGTTCCTAGATAGTAATAATATCTGCTTTTAGGACCTCTAGGTTATATAAAAACTAAGCTATTATTATATTCTTAGAGTGGTGCACATTATATTATAGTATTTAGAATATACTATTTATAGGAGGCATGGTGTAAGGTATTCTATATACTCTTTTAATAGCTACTAGTAAATTAGGGTATTCTAGCTTCTATAGAGAAGTTAACCTAAGAATCCTTCTCTAGTTATATAGCCTTCTAGCCCTTTTCTAGTTATATAGGGATATCTACCCCCTACTTCTGCTTCTTCTTCTTAGCACAGGTGCTTAGGTTGGTATTAGTATCCTTATCTTATAGGATTAAGCTAGGTTGCTAGTTACTCTCTAGGGTATTAGGGAGCTTAGTATAGCTATTCTTATTATTAGCTATAGTATTATTAATAGTAGTATTATCTTAATATATATTAAGGTGGGTCCTGTATATAGCAGTAGTTTATTAGTTCTATAGTAGCTTTAGGGGGTAGGCATTATCTTTATTAGTTAGGTCTAGTAGATTAATATTATTTAAGTAGTCTATAATTTAAGCAGAGTAGTAGGAGATAGTGGAGCTAGTTTAATTAATAGAACTAGTTTAATTAGTTAAGGCCTTCTTTTTTATAGAGATGGATAAGGCCTTAGGGTATAGTGCTAATAAGGTAAATAAGATATTATTAATATTCTAGTCTAATAGTGATGTTAGGGATAATATTATAGTAGGCACCTGCCTATAGGGTAGCTACTTATAGGATAGCTCTAATCTCACTTTCTTAGACCCCTTAGATAGTCTAGTAACTATTTTTATTATAGTAGATCTCTTAGTATCCTTAGGTCCCTTTATTTATATTAGGGAGCCCTCTACTAAGGTATCTATATCTATAGGGGTGAATATTAGGGTAGAGGTGCTTAGTATAGTAGTAGAATCTAAGTTACTACTCTTAGAGTCCCTTTAGAAGTCTTATAAATATAGTAGAATATAGTAATATTACTAGTAGTAGCAGGATGCTATCTATATCTTATCTATCTCCTCTATATACTTCTTACACCCTTTAGACTAGGTAGTATATATATCCCTATAGTTAGTATACTTTTATAGCTCCTAGCTGGTGGTAGCCTACTATAGTAGGTAGTTATAAGTCTTATAGCTATCTATATAAAGGCTATAAATAGTTTTATTAGAATAGATATTTCCTATATAGCTATATTACTAATAGTTAAAATACTAGTAGATATAAGTAGACTAGTTATATAAGACTATAGTTAAAATAATAGAATCCTAGATAGTTCCCTTATTAATAGCTTTATTAGTAGCCTGGGGGGTAGAGAACTTAATTACTAAGATAAAAGATTTCTTATTAATAGATTAGTTTATAAGCTAGGTAATATAGATAATTTTTACTAAATTATCCTATATAAAGTAGTTTATAATAAGTAGCTAGTTAGCTACTTATTTAGCTTTCCTAGAGTCTATTAAATTATTAATTAATTTAACCTAGATATTATAAACTACTATACCCTATATTAGCAGGTAAATAATAGCTCTTTAGTAGAATAACTTAGCCTAGCTAGGGTAGTAGTATATAATCTTAGCCTACTAGGTAGTCTATAGACTAAGGCTTAAGTTACCTAACTTAAGCTAGTAGGTAGCTATAAACTTAATAAATATAAGGATAGCTACTATAGTCTTCTTTAAGGCCTTTATATAAGCCTTCTTAGCCCTATTCTTTATCTCTATAGCTTTTAAATACTAGAATATACTTACTACTCCTATATCTAGTAGTTTAATAATAATCTTATAGTCCTTACTTAGTTCTAAGGGGGTGGCCCTAGGGCTACTTAATAAACTATAGAAGAAGACTATATAGCCTAGGGGTAGTGCTTCTATAATAATAGCTATATATAAGTAAACCTTAGTAGATATAGGGATAGATTAAGTAATTAAGATATACTAGGTAGAGGTGGTATTCTTCTTAATATTAAGAGTAATCTTATAAAGATTAGTAACTATCTTTCTCTAATTATTACCTAGGGGGTTTTTAAGGATCTTCTTAATAATAATATATATATTAGTAATTAACTTAATAAGAGGCTTTAGGATTCCTTAATTATAAATCTTTAGATAGTTTAAATAGATACTTATATTATGATGAAGGTCTAGAATATAATTATATAGAGTTTTCTATAGCCCCTTTTTACTACTATAGAAAGCTATTAGGGGCGGCCACCCAGGCTTTAATAATAATATAATAATTAAGACCCTATAAAATTAGGATTAATCAAAAGCAGTCATCGTCATGAGAAATTAGGTAAATTTCCAGGTTAAAAAACATTGATTTAGGTAAGAAATTTCAAAAATTTGTTCTGTATTGAAGTTATTATTTTTTTTTTTCTGTGCGCAATCGGCAGGGGAGATGGGCGATTGAAACATTTCTGTCCTTTGATATCATACCCTTGCTGGATCAGACAAGGTCATCGCTCTCTTCCATTTTAATTTCATCTATCTCGCTGGTTGACTTTCTTGTGTCCCATAAATTCCAGGGAGGAAAGAACTGTCTTGCCAGTTGCCATCCAGCGGAAGGTAGCTGAGCAGGTTGAGACAGCCTCAGCCTTGCGTGTAGGATACCGTAGTTTCTTCCAGGATTCAACGCAATGAAGGCTGTGCTGGATCTTGATTGGCTTACTATTTTAGTCGACCTCTTCAGCCTGAGAGTGCTGAACCCCGCTCGCCAGCGACAGTAAGCGCCGCAAGCTATTGGGAGAAACCCCTCCAACATAAAAGACGGAAAAGAAATGTCACCCAGGTCTAGGAGCTGATATTTATAAAGCTTAAGTAAAATCTCAGTAAGACCGGGTGGGTCTAAGCTTTCTAAGAATCAGAACCAAAACTGCAGAGTACACAAGCGAAGTTTTTGATACAACTGAACAAGGAACTTCCAGGAACACAGTCCCAAGTCGTAAAGCCGAAATGAATGAGGATTCTTGCAACAGCCGCCCAGTATGTGCGTCCTTCTTTCAGAATCGAACGTGCTAACCCCCTGATAGCCTGTGCCACCGGAGATTGTCGACTGGCTCTCCCATGTGCTCTCGTCTGTTGACAATATACGCTATGCTCCGTCAATGAGGCATCAGGCACCCCCAATTGTCACTCTGGATGAGATCCGAAACGCAAAAGACCTATGTCCTCGCAGCATGGGCGGCTGCAAAATCCTACTAATCAACGCCTCAACTATATTGAAGGTCGGACCTATGGTTCGGATGGGAGAAGCTGAAGCTCTCTGCCTCGTCAGGAGAAGGACGTCAGTACCTGTTCCTATAGTACTCAACGCCTATGCTATCGATGAGGTTGGGTTTCTTGTGATGGAAAGAATTCCAGGTATTCCGCTTGTACGATGCTGGAAGGGCTTAACAGGAGATGCGAAAAGATCGATTGTCCGACAGCTTCAAGGGTTCATACAGGAGTGGCGCCAGATTGACGGTCCACTGTTCGGATCTGTTGATGGTGGTCCATGCGAAGATGTCTTCTTTAAGCATTCGTGGGATGCAAAGTTTCGTCAATATGGGCCATTTTCGACAAGAAAGGAATTCAACCAAGGGGTAGTAGAGGCACTTTGCAACGCCAGACCGTACGGAAAGCTCACCAGGAGGGACGAGCCTCTGGCAGCGAGAATTCTTGCATCTGATAGCCAGGATGAGAGGAAGGTGCTCACACATGGTGATTTGCACCAAAGTAATATTATGATAAAGGATAATGTCATCACCGGGGTCATTGACTGGGGTGCAGCCGGCTATAGTATATCAGCAAGAGAATACTTTGGCTTGCGATGGCAAGCATTGGATTTGGATTGGAGAGATCTTATATCTACTATACTCGATGTCGACGAGTATGATTTTTGGGCTGAGGTGAATCAATCCATGGTGGATTATACTGGAATTTAACTTGACATCACCAACACCATCTTGGACGCTGGATTGCTATCATTTCTTTTCATACACCTTCCCTACTATGATATCCTCTATACGAGTATTGTGGCTTCGTTCGTGCCGGCTTCCATTGGCGACGGCCCATTGACAGGTTGATATCGGAGATGGAACCATCATTTGCACTTAACAGAACAGTCGTTGAGATCCTTTCCCGTGTTTGCAGCAAGCTACAGGTGTCATTGTAATGCCAAATATTAGGAGACGGCAATGACGAAATGACAAAATGACGCATTTTGACGTCAGTTGTCCTGCTTTTCAAGATCATCCATAGCATTAACATGTGTATTTTGAAGTATATTCATCTGGAGGCGTTGATCCTCAGGCTGCAATACATTTGAATACATAGCAATATCTATGCGACAGTGACCGTCATGTCGCACCTCACCTACAAGCCCAAATCAGCGGTTGTTCGGGATCTAGTCGACTTCATCTATCGGTCCAACTCACGAGTTGCTGAATTTACCACGGCTGTAGAGAGTGCACGCAAGCCGGACAATGGCGGTCGAAATGAGATGGACCAGGAAAGTATCTACACGCTGGAAGACTACATCAAGTTCATGGATAACTTTGTTCGCTGGGCTCCCAAAGTCTCTAGTACTGGAGATGAAGTTCTCAATAAGATCCTAGTCTTCTACTGGGTGCTGGATCAGCCTGTGCTGAAGCAATATCAGACTGCAATCACGCCAGAGACGGCTGATACTGATCTCAAATGGCTGTCATATTGGCTCGTCACGTTCGCCCGCGAGCAGGGCAAGTGGTTAGATACTGAAGAATCGGCGGGCTCTGTTTACTCCTTCTATCGGAACGCAAAGTATAACAAAGACGCGGATCAGTGGGAAGAGCCGGAGGATGGCTGGAAGTCTTTCAATCACTGGTTTGGGCGTCAGTGGAAGGACATTAACGTGTCTCGTCCGGTGGATCATCCGAATGATGATAATGTCATTGTGCATGTTGCTGATTCCATGTTTGATGGCCACTGGGACATCAACAACGGCACAATCCGCCTGAAAACCAGTGTCAATATGAAAGGGGTGGATTGGCCAGTCGGAACTCTTCTCCGAGACTCAGGAATCGAGTACAAGAATGGAAGTTTTATGCATGCCTTTCTCGCACCCGCAGACTACCATCGCCAGCACGCACCAGTGAGCGGAGAGGTAATCGAGGCGAGGAACATCCATGATCAGGTCTATCTTCAGGTAGGGAAGAAGGCAGATGGTGGCATCGGACGATCCCGAGGTCTGGTCCGGGACTCGGACGACCTAGAGCACCGTCGGGTGCAGAACCAGGGTCAGTTCTATGGCATCGAAGCCCCAGATGAGGCTGGATATCAGTGGTGTCAGGCCCGCGGCGTCATTGCCATCCAGACCCAGAACTATGGTAAAGTCGCGGTCCTCTCGATTGGAATGGCGCAGGTCTCGTCAGTCAAGTTGACGGTCAAAGTTGGTGATCAGGTGAAGAAAGGTGACAATATCGCCTATTTTCAGTTTGGTGGCTCTGATGTGTGCATTGTGTTCGAGAAACGTGTCAAGTGGCGCGCTGATCTCCAGCCTGGCCAAACCAAGCTGAAGGTACGAGAAAGGCTCGCTAGCTTTCACTGATCGAGGGTAGCTATTCCACGTTTTGATACTTCTTTCCTACGCATGGCCCTTCAGTGGCCTAACCCTTCATTTAGAATCTGATCTATGTTCCCTCGAAGCCTCTAGTTGGGAACTCGCGTAGTGTTTGCGGGCACAGAAAAGACCGGCAACGATTGCTAGCATCAGACTACAAGAAGGGATCGAAAGAGGGAAGTACCAGCTCACTCACGCTAATGAGGAACGTGCTGTAGAACCAATGGTATAGTGGAGTTGCATTGGATTGATATCATTTAGGGCTCTCCTATCGAAAGATACTCGCGAGGTTGATGTCTTTCCTAACCTACCTGATTCCTTGTTTTGAACCACGACGCCATACAGCTTTAGCCTGCGACGATCTACCGTTCGGATGTTCCCCGGCCAGTGTCCACAGTGGGCCAACCGAGGTACTCTCGGTGTCTCCGAGTCTGGGTTCGTGATTAACGCCTCGTGTACCGAGCTAATCTAGTATGACCAACATGTCTCTACGTTGGCAGCCAATGACGAAGCCTAAGGAAATAATAAAACGATAGGTAGCTTCCCGCGCTCGAGTCAATTCAGTTTTACTCCACCATCTCATATCCCTCATCATGCCGCCATTTTGCAAGATTGCCGTCATCCAGCTCTATGTCAAGGTAGGCTTATATTCCTTGCATCTTCCTAAACCAACTTCATCAATGATAAAATAGAGAAAGAAAAAAAAGTCTCCACATTCATGTCAACTCTCAGATGGAGTACTTGTTTCTAATACACTCTTCTAGCCCCTCAAACCGGCCGACAACTTCGCCCGGGCTGTGAAATTTATCCGCGAGGCTGCTGCGCAGGCATGTCATTTGGCCGTACTGCCTGAATTCCACCTGACCAACTGGATCCCCACTGATCCTCGTTTTGCTTCCCTGTGCGATGACTGGGAGACCTATCTGCATCGTTATCAGGCCCTCGCCAAAGAGTGTAACATATGCATCGTACCTGGATCGATAGTCCGACCCGTATCTGCCTCCCCTCCAGCTGCAGCAGGGACACCTGTCTCCGACAAGGCAGAACCAAGCCTCGAAAATGTAACCTTTTTCATCTCCAACTCCGGCGAGATTCTGGGCTCCTACGTGAAAAAGAATCTCTGGGGGCCCACCGAGCGAGCATACCTTCGGTCATCCGGGGATAGTCCACACCAAGTCATTTCGACACCGTTAGGTCCTGTGGGCTTGCTGGTGTGCTGGGACCTGGCCTTTCCCGAAGCCTGGAGAGAACTGGTGTCCCAGGGAGCGAAGATCATCATTGTGCCGACCCTGTGGACTCGCAGCGGCGCATCTGAGGCAGGCCATCGCCAGAATCCTTCTGCACCCTCCTTGTTCCTTGACAGCATTTTGACTGCACGAACGTTTGAGAATACCTGCGCTGTCGTCTTTGCCAACGCAGGCGGGCCTCCAGGGAGAAACTACTGCGGACTCTCACAGATCAACATTCCGTACGCGGGACCCTTGGTTCGTTTAGGTACGTCCGCTGAAGGAATGGGCGTGGCCACAGTCGATATGGCGGTTTTGGAGGATGCGGAAGAAAACTACGCGATCCGCTCCGATCTCACCGACCCTTCCTGGCATTACAGTCATACTCGCCGGGTTCCGGTAGAATTGGCCAAAGGGAGGCTATAGATGGTCAGAATGGCGATAGCACTAACCGGGAGCGCGATCCATAATACGGAGAGAAGATTCGGAAAAGGTTCCCGGGAAGATTCCGGAGAAGATTCCGGGAGAAGATGTTGGCCATTAGCGACGAGAAAGGTTTGTTGCCGGGGATGCCGTTCATCTGGCGAGGATTGATCCTCGAATGCTCCACACTACTTCTGTGTATAGCCTTGATGTTGTGGATAGTTAAGTAGTGCACTGTCCGGAATGGAGATATCGAAAGTTTATGGAGTCGTGCTGGGTATGCCTGACTCGATATTATATATATATATACATATACATATCTACCCGTGTGTGTTGGTGAGGTTTCCCCTTCAGAAGCATACACCTATGTCTTTTGTACTATCTGCCACGGTCTTGAGTACGACGTCCACGACAGGCCAGGTCAGTCGACGCCGGCGGACATAGCTGCTCACAATGATCATGACCTCTGATTCAATGAACATGATTTGGACGTGCGGGGCGATAAGCGATGCAGGTTGGTGTATGTAGTGATGTGCTTGGCAGAGGCGCCCCCAGACACAAAGAATGATAGGATGACAGGTAGGGGCTGTTGGGATTGAGACCCAGGTGCGTGTGGCTACGCGATTGAAATGTGGGATTAGAGACCTGCTCACGTTCAACCTCGGTGTTTCGGTTGTATTGGGCCTATGGGCCTTAGAAAGGGCAGTATTGACATGGATGCTTAAGATGCTGGGCGATGACAAATCAGACGTTCTTTTGTTCTTTGTTTTCCTTTTCTGTGATGTCTTGTGTAGGTAAGGATGGAATGAAAATGAATGGCATCTCTTCCGCAATTATATGTCATTCCCTTCATCTTTCTGACCTGGATAACGTAATTCCCAGGTGAGCTGGGCAGCCGGCCACCCGCGTCAGCCAGCCACCCCTCATCTGATTTCGACGCGTTCGAACGTTTGAAGCCATCCAAATCAACCAAAACAATATATTTTTATTAGATCTAGCTAGTATGGTGTGTAGGGCATCTAGTTCTAGTATGCCCTATAATAAAGTAATTAGAACACCTTAGTGGCGCGCGTTTTAGGGGTTCTGAATATAAAGGCATAGAATTAATAGATAGCCCCCCCCTAATCTTATTATTCTGCTTATTTCTTGCCTGGATAAGATCCCTAGCTTCCTGGATATAGAGTCCTTTATTAGGAGTCATCTAGCACCTAGATCTCTTTAATTTCTGCTTCTCCTTCTCATTAGCTGTATATAAATCATGATTTTCCTTTACTAGTAGAGCTACGCTATGCATAGCTATCTTATAACCCTTAATAAGCTACTAGATAGCTAGTTTTAAAGGTATTAAAGGGCTTTAAGATTATTATTTTAGGAGCTTCTTAACTAAGGATGCTTACTTTTATAATTACTAAAGTATATGATGACATGGTTAGCAGGGCGCTGAAATTAGCCCTTATTAAACTATCTGTCTGCTGCTTTCTACTATCTACCCTATGCTGAAGTCCTACTACCCCTTGCAGCCTAGCATATCTATTTTAGGGATTATGCCTGTATTCTTACTGCTTTTATATCTATTACCTACTATCTCATACCTCCTATATAATCTATATAACCCTATCTACCCTCCCTTAAAAGATAATATACTTTCTCTTCCTCTTTTCCTACTATCTGCCTTACCCCTAGTATACTGCCCCCTTCTTAGGATACTATATTATCTAAATATTACCTCTTTCTAGTATAGTGCTATCTACTTCTCCTCTTTTCTTATCCTATTTAATATTAGAGTTACTAATAGCTTAACCTATTAGTAATTATTACTCTATTAGTTTCTTAGCTATCTATATCTCCCTTATCTATATACACCCTATTATATATGCCCACAGTTAGGCTACCTAGACCTATAAGACTATGGTGAATTATACCTTATATTATATAGCTAGTAAATATAGATACTTTATTTTTCCTACTTAATCTCTTCCTAATTATAGTATATAGCACTATTTCTGTGTCTTCTCTATCTATAGAAATATAAGGTACTAAATAAGGTAGTAGGAATCTTCTATATAGCTAGAATAATCCTTCTCTTTAACCCCTCACTATAGGTCTGTAGGTGTAGCTAACTAGTATTATATCCTATACTATTTATAGCTAATCCTTAATCTACTATCCTCTATACCTACTGAGTATACACTCTTACCTTAACTACTAGCTAATAGTAAAATTACTATATATATCTTTAGCATGCTTTATATCTCTAAGAAGTCTGGAATGCAAGGCTTAGGGGTAGTAGGGTAATATAGTTAGTAGAGAATACCCCCTTCTAATTTCTAGGCAGAGCTTATAACTAAAGGTTAATATATTAGCTGCTTTAGGAGTAGCTAAAAATAGGATAAATTCTATTTTAGTAGCTCTTTTACCCTTGATGTATATGGTGGGAGTGATAAGATAATTTACTAATGAGTAAAAGTATAAGAAAGGGATAATTAAACCCCTAAGAATAGTAGTTTAGGAGCTTACTTTCCTTTAATACTAGTATATTTTCTTTTACTCCAGCCTTATTCCTATCTTATGCCTAATACTTATATAGTTATATTCCACTAGCATATCCCAGTCCCCCCTTAACCTAATATATTATATATATTTTATGCTAATAACTTTAAGATATAGACTCCCTCTTTCTATATAAGATCCTCCTCTAAGTACTTATACCTATACCCTCCTTCTAATAAGTCCCCTATTATTAAATTTTATCAGTCACCCCTCCCTTAAGCATTACCATTACCTAAGTATTAGCTCCTGGTATGGCCCCTAGCTAAAATTTATATTTATGTAAGTACTATAGTGCTATCTAATATCTTCTAGGCCCCCTAGTCTCTATCCTAGAAGTTATCTAGGCTGTACTCTACTATAATGACTGCTATAATACCTGCTATATCATCTAATATGCAGCATGCAGAGTAGCTTAAATAGTCTCTAAGAAATAGATCTAGTCTATTATTAAATTAGGATTTAGCTACATCACGCAAAGTTCACAATGCTATTAATATATTAATTAATGTGCCCTTTTTTCTAGAGGATGCCCTAAGATATATTGGGATATTCGTAGTTATTAAGGACATGGAGTCTTTGAAGAGTGCAAGGGTAGGGGGTAGGCTAGCAGCCGCCCTATACATACCCTATTAACTTTAAGGGATTCTAGTCTTCTTTTATATTTTAACCTAGGCTAAGAATAAATATAAGATCTAACTAGCTATATAAATAGTAATAATAGTTACTAGATATTATTATATATCTGATAGACTTCCCTAAAGTTATATATATACTAGTTAATATTACATC